AAAATAAAGGTATTGTGTCCAACGACAACTAAAAAATATATATTTTTTTTTTTAAAAAGGCGGTCTTTTCTCCAATGTATGTTTTTGGCACCTTTGTCAAAGAATAGATGACAATAGATGTGTGGGTTTGTCTGTGTGTCTTCTATTTTGTGCGATTGGTCTATGTATCTGTTTTTATGCCAGTACCATGCAGTTTTTGTTATTATAGTTCTATGGTATAATTTAAAGACAGGTTTTGTGATGCCTGCAGCATTGTTTTTTTGGCTTTGAATTATTCTGCATTTTTTATTCTTCAAAATGAATTTGAGGACTGTTTTTTCTAATTCTGTGAACAATGTCACTGGTTTTTGATGGGGATTGCATTGAATCTGTGTATTGCTTTTGGTTGTTAACAATATTAACAATATTAACTCTGCCTATCCATTAACATGGGAGGTCTCTCTCGTTACTGAGATATTATTTAGTTCTTTCAAAAAATTTCAATTTTTTGATGTTCTACAGTTTTTATTGTAGAGGTCTTTCCCTCCTTGGTTAGATTCATTCCTAGGTATTTTATTTATTGAGGCTATTGTGGATAGAATTGTTTTCCTGATTTCTTTCTCAGCAGATTTGTTGTTGGTATATAGGAAAGCTATTGATTTTTTTAAAAATGTTGACTTTGTTACTCTGCCAAATTTGTTTATTAGCTCTAGCAGTCTTTTGGTGGAATTCTTTGGATATTCTATGTATAGGATCATATCATTGCAAACAGTAATAACTTGACATCTTCCTTTTTTATTTTTATCCCATTTATTGTCTTCTCCTGCCTAATTGCTCTGGTTAGAACTTCTAGCACTATATTAAAAAGGAGTGGTGAGAGTGGACATCTTTGTCTTGTCTCAGATTTTAAAGGAAATGCTTTCAGTTTTTCCCCATTTACTGTGAGGTTGGCTTTGGGTTTTTCATAGATGGCCTTTATGATGTTGAGGTAGGTTTCTTCTATTCCTAGTTTCTTCAGTGTTTTTATCATGAATGGGTACAGAATTTTGTCATATGCCTTCTCTTCATCTATTGAGATTACTAAGTGATTTTTGTCCTTAATTCTGTTTATGTGATGAATTACATTTATTGATTTGCATATATTAAACCATCCTCACATCTCTTGGAATAAAACCAACTTGATCATGGTATACAATCTTATTAATATGTTGTTGGACATGATTTGAAATATTTTATTAAGTATTTTTGTGTCTAAGTTTATCAGTGATATTGGTCTGTAGTTTTCTTTCTTTGATGAATCTTTATCTGTTTTGAGTGTGTGAGAACAGTTTCATAGAGTGAATTTAGAAGTGTTCCATCCCTTTCTGTTTCATGGAATAATTTGGGAGAATTGGCATTAGTCCTTCTTAAAAGGTTTGGTAGAATTCAGCTGAGAATCCATCTGGTCCTGGGCTTTTCTTTGTTCGAAGGTTTTTTTGTTGTTGTTTTTTTTAGTTGTAGATGGACAGAATGCCTTTACTTTATTTTGTTTTATTTTTTTATGTGGTGTTGAGGATCAAACCCAGTGCCTCACACATGCTAGGCAAGCGCTCTACCACTGAGCTACAACCCCAGCCCCTCGAAGGCTTTTTATTACTGCTGATATCTCATTACAAGTTATTGGTCTGTTTAATTTTTTTCTTTGTTTGTTTTTCTGTTTTGTTCTCTTGATTCAGTTTTGGCAGATTGTATTTGTCTAGAAATGTACCCATTTATTCTAGGTTTTCCAATTTGTTGGAATATAAGTTTTCAAAATAGTCCCTAATGATCTGCTGGATTTCTGAGATATCTGTAGTGATTTCTTCCTTTTCATCTCTTAATTTTATTAATTTGATTTTCTCCCTTTTTCTTTTGATTAGTTTGGCTAAGGGCTTATCCATTTTGTTTATCTTTTCAAAGCACCAACTCTTTGTTTCATTGATCCTTTGTGTTGTTATTTTTTATTCTCAAGGTCATTAATTTCAGCCCTGATCTTAATTATTTCCTTCCTTTGGACTTGTTTTGTTCTTCTTTTCCAAGGGCCTTGAGATGCATCATTAGGTTGTTTATTTGGGAATCTTTTTGAAGGAATGGGTTGAAGATATCATGAAAAGGCTTCTGAAGTTTAAGGATCAATTGCTGATGAAAATGATTAGAAACATTTCCGAGCATGATGGACCAACTAAAAATGTGTTTATTGATTTTGTTGGGGACCTTGCAGCCCAGATCTCTAATGATGAAGAGGAAGTTTGTGATGAATGTTTGGGAACTCTTGCAAATTTGACCATTACAGATTTAGATAGGAGTCAGCTCTTAAATAGCACCAGTTAGTTCCATACCTCAAGGATAAATGAAAACCAGGTGCTGCAGAAAATGACTTTGTTTTACAAGTGGTTATAATGATTAGAACTATATCTATGGATGACTCTTATGCTACATTGCTAGCAAAATCTAGAATAATCCCTGCACACATCAAATTTCTAATTGCTTGACATTAAGACAATGAGTTTGTATGTTGGTTTTCTACCAAGCCCTGAGAAACGTCATAATCAAGGGGACCCAGGCTTCAGCATATCTTGTAGATATCATGCATGATAAAAAATAGTGAAATCTGAGAGGTCTGTAATATGCTATATATTGTAGTGGAATATGATGAAGAATGGGCTAAGAAATTTCAGAGCGAGAAGTTTTGCTGGCATAACTCTTAGTGGCTGGATATGATATAGAGCCACCAGATGGACGAGAGTGAGCAGTACTTGTATGGTGATGATTGAATTGAGCATATGTCCATAACAGAGATATTCTTGAAAGACCTAACTATTTCTATAATTCAGATGGATTAATTCCCTCCAAAGGAGCCATGATTCCTTCAATGATTATCATGGAGATGTAGTTGGGCAGCATTCATTTCCTCGAAGTCTTGAAATGGATAGCATTGGCCAACCAGAGGGCATTCTTGGATACCCTGCCATAGTTTATGGATTCTCCCCTGATGAATCTTAGTAATAAGGCTATTAGTCTCAGTAAAGTCTTCTCTTTCCATGTGTATTCTCAGCTTAGAAGAAGTCTGTATGGATTGGGTTAATTCTGATCTTGGCCTAATAAAGCATAATACTATTATGGGTCTGTGTTTCTTCTTCCATATTATTAGCTGCAGATGAACTTCAACCCTTTCAGTTGATGCTACCATTGCTCCCTCATCCACCCACATCTTGATGCTGAAAAACATTTCCCATGAGACTCAGAAGTGAATGTTAAAAAGCTGCTAGATTAGAGAACAAACACTACATTATATACATTAAGTGAATAATTTAATTTCTATTAAAAAGATGCATGAAGTGCAAAAAAATCCTTTTGTACATGTAATCATACAGTTTACTCTTTGCACCTGGCTTGTTTCAGTCAACAATATATTAATGATATTCACTCATGTTGCAAATAACAGTACTTTATCCATTGTAAACCCTATATAATATTATATCAAGAGTTGGCAGATTGTGGCCCAGAGGCCAAATGTGGTCATGATTCATTTTTTACCTTATGGATATCAAAGTATTAAAAAGAAAATGTCTTTGCTTCCTACAGTACCTTTTAAAAATATGTGTAATATTTCTCTTTGTTTAAATAGGAAAATAATATCATGGATCCTGAATTAAAAGAAAACATATCCCTTCTTTCCATGCTTATGAATATATTGCATGTGTAAGTGTAGATACCCATTATACATTTTGTACTAAAACATACCTTATACTTGCACACAAGTTTAGGGGAAATTTTAAATATTTTACTTAATTGTTTTATTTTTTAAAAAAAATATTTATTTTTTTTATTATAGGTGGACACAATATCTTTTTTTTTTTTTATTTTTATGTAGTGCTGAGGATTGAAACTAGCGCCTCATGCATGCTAGGCAAGTGCTCTATCTCTGAGCCACAACCCCAGCCCTTAATTGCTTTATTAATATCCTGAATCTTTACACATAAGACCTGGCAATACATATTTGTTGTCAAAACTTTTGAAATGACCCAGAAGGATATACAAATCAAAGTAATGTTCGCCTCTGCTCATCCCTTTGGCTTGTGTAATCCAACCCCTTCTAAATAATCACTATTGACAGTTTTGCAGGGTATTCTTACAAATATATTTATGACATGAAAGTGTTGTGGTGTGAGTGTGTGTGTGTACACTTTTTTATTTTTTAACACACCTGGGATCCTAATATGCATACTAATCTATAACTTGTTTTCATATTTAATTATATATTATAACTATATTTCCATTTTTGCAAAATAGAATTCTCACTCATTGTTTCTCATTTTTAAAAATAATTTTGTAGTGTACAATGAATACATATTTCATCATTCCTCAAAATAGCAAAAATTAAACTATTTCTAATTCTTTGTGTAAGCACACATGAATTTTTCTTTTTGTTTACCTATATGAGAATATATTTAAGAATGATTTTTAGACATTGAATTGCTGAGTCACATATATGTGCTTTTAAACTTTTGACAGATAGGCAGGGCATAGTGATGCATGCCTATAGTCCCACCCACCTACATGGAAGGCTGAGGTGGGAGATTGCTTGAGCCTAGGAGTTTGAGACAGGCTTGGGAAACACATCAGGTCTCCATCTCAAAAAAAGGCGGGGAATGAGGGATGGTGGGTAAAAGACGGTGGAATGAGATGGACATCCCTACCCTAAGTACATGTATGCAGACACAAATAGTGTGGCTCTGCTTTGTGTACACTAGAGATATGAAAAATTGTGCTCTCTGTGTGTAATATGAAGTGTAATGCATTTTACTATCATATATAACAAATTAAAATTTAACAAATAAATTTTTAAAAATTAGATATCACTAAATTGCCATTCAGAAAAAGCAATTGGCCATTTTGCCCCACGAGGCATTATTATTATTATTGACAGCAGAACTGTCTCTGCACTTTATGAAATCTAGAATAAGGAAGTTTTATATTGATTGTTTCTTCTGTTGTTTCAGAACAATGAGATGGTGGAGCTACAGAGAATACGGATGAAGGATGAAATTCGAGAATATAAGTTCCGGGAGGCCCGGCTCCTTCAGGACTACACTGAACTAGAAGAAGAGAATATCACTTTGCAGAAACTAGTGTCCACGTTAAAGCAGAACCAGGTGAGATTTAAGAAGGTTTCTTTTAGATACACACAGATGGATCCACAGATTCTGACAACTCTAGTTCCATCACCTCTATTTCTTAGGGAGGAGCTTGTCAAATTTTTTTTATAATCCCTTAATCTTTTTATGTAATATTTATGTACTGAGATTTCTCGACTTTCCTATTTCAGCTACAATATAGAAGGAAAAAAATACACCTATAAGGAGTATAATTTACAATAAAGCTTTACTAATAAAGATACAAAGGAGAATTTTGGTTTCTACTTTAACTCTGTTGATTTTATTTCAGCAGTTAAGTTAAGCCCATTACAGTAAACTAAATCTGACAACTTCCAGTTCAAAGCCTGGGTCTGTAGGCTATTTCATTCTACAAGCTTAAGGTCTCCCTACAATCACTTGTCTCATTCTTTTTGCTTTCTTCCTCCCTCCTTCCTTTTTCCCTCCCTCCCTCTCTCCCGTTTTTTTTTTTTTTTTTTGTGTGTGTGTGTGTGTGTGTAATTTATTTTTTAGTTTTAGGCGGACACAATATCTTTATTTTATTTTTATGTGGTGCTGAGGATCAAACCCAGTGCCTCACACGTGCTAGGTGAGCACTCTACCACTGAGCCACAACACCAGCCCTCTCCTTTCCCTTTTTTTTGGTAAATTGCTTTTAAATCATAGAAGGAAAGGGATTATAAAGTATATACCAGCAGGAACAAAGGCATAAGAAATCAAGTGCCTGATTTCTTTTTCAGCTGTACCCTGTACCCGACTCTAAAGATGTACATTTACATAATTATGTAATTTTTTTCTGTAGTAAGGCTTACATGGCTTCCTTTTTCTAATTGTTTTGCAATGTGGTTTTGCATAATTATTACTAATTGAATTCTTGAATCTGTAATATGAGAAGAATCCATTTATGAATACAGCTGTATCGAGTAGTTAAGTAAAGGCAACTTGGATATCCAAATTTTTTTTAAGGAGCTTCCTCAGCCATAATCTCTACTTTGGTCTATATGCTATCATAACCTCTCAGTTCAGGTAACCCGACTATGTGCCCAGCACTGTACTAGGCTGGAAAGGTACCAGAATTCATAAGACATGATTCTTAACCTTGGTAAACTTGGAAAACAGCCAGTATATACTTTTAGAGTTAATGAGCTGGGGATTTGGCTCAGTGGTAGATCTCTTGCCTAGCTGATGTGAGGCCCTGGGTTTGATCCCTAGCACTAGGGGGGAAAAGTTAAGAGGACAAAAGAAAAATATGGATTGACACAATTAAAATTTGGTTTCTGATCATTGCCACTTAGCTTTGGAGTTGCTGGGGAAATAAGATGTCTACTGATGAGAACAGGGGGTAGATTCAGCCCATAAAAAAGGGTTATCAGGAAATCCCCATGTGTTTTTACCTCATTCCTTCCCCTTTGAGCACTGAACACCCCATGCACCAGAGGCCAGCAGACCCACATGTCACAGGAGAGTAGGCAGCTGAAGCTCTAAACCTCCATTCTTGTGTCCCAGCAAAAGAAAATTTAAAGAATTTAAAGAAAAGCCATGCAAGAGAATTTTATTCTAGTGAAAGTAAAGTTAGGTTGAAGCAGAGAGCACTCTCAAGAGGGTGGGTCCTTTCTGAGCAGAGAGTGACAAAGGAAACAGTGAGGCTTCCAAATTCATTGCTGTTACACATTTGCCTTGGGAACTGGGGTTCACCTTCCGCACTCTTCCGCAGTCCTGTGTTGAGCGCCTCCTTTGTGTTGGACAGTGGAGTCTTTGACCCTAGTTGGTCCTCTCCAGACCTGTCATGGTGGCCTCCTATTCAGAGTGGCTTCATCTACAAGTCAGTCAATCCTAAGTTAATGTGGGGACTGGATTTGGTGGCCAAACTACCTTAGTGCACTTGTGTCATTAAAGAAATTTATCTTCTGAAATATATGGAGAAACTTATGGCCACAAATCCTAACTTCACAATGACCCTCTCAGGAGTTAGCTTCATTGATCTTTCTTTCTTGACCTGTTTGATTGGCTCCCTTTGTTTCCACCTGTTTATTCTCAGGGTTTGTGCACCTGTTATTTTTGTATAAGTTACTTAGTTGTTCATTTGCCTTAAAAACAATTTAAAGAAGCTGAGCACAAGAGTGCACTCTTATAATCCCAGCAAATCGGGAAGCTGAGGCAGGAGGATCACAAGTTCGAGACTAGCCTCAGCAAGTTAGTGAGGCCCTAAGCTACTTAGTGTGACCCTGTCTCAAAATAAGAAGTGAAAAGGGCTGGAGATGTGGCTTAGTGGATTCAATCTCTGGTAACAACAACAACAAAAAAAAAAAGTAAAGAAAACTCATGACCATGCCATGCTATTGGTTTGTATTCTGCTGCTCATTACTATCTACTGCCTAACACAGGCATCCCAGGTCTTATTTTGTCTGGGGTAAATGAGCTTGCAGTGCAGAAATTAATACTTAGAGGAATTTTTTAAAAATATGCTTCTCAGCTGGGTATGGTGGTGCATACCTAAAATCCCAGCTACTTGGAAGGCTGAGGCAGGAGGATTAAAAGCTGAAAGCCAGCCTTAATAATTTGGTGAAACCTGGTCTCACAATAAAATTTTTAAAAAGGGCTGGGGATACAGCTCAGTGGTAGAGCGCTTATCTAGCATGTGCAAGGTCCTGGTTCAATCCCCAGAACCCTCAAAAAATGCTTCTTAAAATGAGAAGGATTTTGTGTGTGTGTGTGTGAGTGTGTGTGTGTTTCTTTTGTGTGTGAGTGGGTGGGAACTTTGGGGTTCTTTTGTTTATTTTTGGTGTAGTTTTGGTTTTTGTCACTGATGAAGAATGAGAGAACTTTGTTTGAAGTACAAATATTTAAATTGCCTTTCCTTCCTCCCTTTTCTCTGCTCAGACAGGAACAGGAGCAGACAGCCTCCCTGTGGTCCTGTGTGGTGGGCTGATTCATCTCAGGGGTTAATTAGAGCCAGGATTAGGGGTCCTTGGGAGACTGCCAAAGTACCCTGCCTGTTTTCATTAACCTAGAAGCTGATTCTAAGGGAATTCATTTTATCAATGTGGCTGATCACTGTTTACCATTTACCCAGACCCTTCTACCAGAAATGGAAACTCGGGAGTTTTGAGGAAAATGTTTACATCTCTTCAATTTTACTTTCTAGATGTCAGATGATAATTCCCCCAATTAAATGTTGAATCAATTGAAAATAATTTTCTGTACAAGCTGTTTGGGCTTATTCCCTGACACATGGGTACACCGTAGCTCCAAGTCTGTTCCAGATAAGGAAATGCTGTGGGTTTTCCCCTACTATTGGCTTTTATTTAAAGACATTAGCATCATAAATACTCTAATTAATGAATTGAGCATAATATTTTGTGTACAAATGCCACCGGTTTTTGTGAAGAGACAAATGGCATTCAATCACAAAATCAGTCTGAAACTTACTTTGTACTGATCCTCCCTACACGCTGTGTACCCCAGCCCGGCTGCAGGTTTCTCCAGCAGCAAAGCTACTGCCATTGTAAGATGCTTGGTTCCAGGGATTTTTCCCTTCTGAAGTTTTGTTTTTCTATTAGCTATTTATTATTTTCTAAAAATATTTAAATAGCATGTCTTACTCCCTCTTTAAGCATCTATTCACAAATACTTGCTGAAAGACTGAGAAAACAGGTGTTCCTTTCTTAACCTTCCCATGGAACACATTAATTCGGGAGTATGGCTAGTGGCTGGGGACTGTCAAATTATCAGATGCTTTAGGCTAGGTAACAACTGCTTGGAATTTTGAAAAGCATATTTCAGTGACAGGGGTATAGCCCAGAGGTAGAGCATTTAACTTGTAGGCACACAGGCCAGCACCACACGCACACACACACACACACATACACACACATACACACACAAACATACACACAAGTATATTTTATTTGCACGTCATCATGGCTGTTATATTCTATTTAAATGCTCATTTATGCATTTTCCCCATCAGGCAATTTATTCTCCCATCAAGTATCCACAATCCTAAGTAATGTAGTTAATATGAAACACAGAAATTTCCTTTAGAGGACAATTATTGGTAGTATGCCATGAATTGATCTGTTATGTTTCCTTATATTTATTCAAAGATATATTTAGGGTAGAACAATTAGCATTCTATAATTATCATTATAAATAATAGATATATATCTCCTTGATTGACTCTTCTGAGTAATTCTATCTCTGACATGTTGAAATTCTAATTACCTTTTTTTCTTTAGAAATGTCTTTTATAGGGTGTTTTTACATAATGTATTCCAGGCACCACACTGTGGTAAACACATTCTTTTTATTGAAATAACACTCTCCTTATTCATATATACAAATAGCATTCTTGAAAACATCTTTTATTCATGTGCCTTACAGAGTTTATTATATGCTGTATAATGTGGTAAACACATTCTTTAATGAAATACCACTATGCTTATTCACATATGTATCTAGTATTCCTGGAAACTTCTTTTACACACGTGTCTTTACAGACCATGCCCCACAGTGCTCCAATGACCTTCTGTAACAACGAGTTTTGGTTTTCATTTCTCCCCATTGTATTTCCCAGTTTTAATTGGGCCCAAGGCTGCCCAGAATAGAAACTACATGCTTCCAGCTCCCTTGCATTAAAGTGTGTCGTAGGATCAGAACTGGCCAATAGAATATGAGAAAAAGCAATATGGGAATGATGGGATGTTTCTGGAAAGGCAGAGGGTGTGCCCCTTACTTACTTCAGCCCACTGCCAGGCACAGGATCAAGATGGCAAGCCAGCTTGGCTCATGGACCAAGTAGAAGTCAGGGCAGCAAGAGAGGAGGAGCCTGGTTCCTGGATAACCTCCTGGAGCAGAGATTCCCCACTGGTCTTGACAGTCTGCCTCCATACTGTTACATGAGAGAGGAAAACTTTCATCTTGACTGAGACGTCTCCTGTAGGTCTCTGATACATCAGCCAAACCTGCATCCCCACCAAACCCGTATTCTAACATTTGCAAGATAAATGATCACACCAAGATTATGTGAGGGGGATAAAAATACGTGAAAAGTAGTGGTTTATGATCTCTTTTCAATTCTTAAAACCATTTTTAAAATTTAAGTTCAAACTAATAAATACCAAAGTTAGATATAAAGCCAAACAGTTTATGTGAGCATCCAATAGCAGGATGTCTTTGTTTTTCTAGTTTATTTTTTCACTCACGGTTTTTCAGCAAATGCTTATTGAAGAGCAGAATTTTGTTTTAAACGCTGTGAAGGAACATTGAAGCACTATGAGGGACACCTTGGTGAATAAAAAGTACTTTCTCCAGGCAGATTTCAAGGCAGTTGTAGAAGTGAAATGTTTATGGAATGGTGACATGTGACAAGTGCCAAGGAAACAGTCCCAGGGAAGGCCCAGCAGCTCAGAAGAGAGACCTCTGTCACCTGTGGGTTTTCATGGTCAGAAGTCGTCTGAGCAGGCTTCCACTTGATTACATCTCAAAAGAATATTATATTGATAACACTATAGATATGTTTTGTTATTGGATAACTTGCCCCTTTTCTTTCAGATTTTTTTTTTCTTTTTTTTTTTTTTTGTACCAGGATTGAACCCAGGGGTGCTTAACCACCGAGCCACATCCCCAGCCCTTTTTCATATTTTATTTAGAGACAGGATCTTTCTCAGTTGCTTAGGGCCCTACTAATTTGCTGAGGCTGGCTTTGAACCTGTGATCCTCCTGCCTCAGCCTCCTGAACTGCTGGAATAACAGGCGCTCTTTCAGATTTGATCCTTAAGCCTATATAAACTTTCTTTGCTTTCTCATCTTAATCTCAAACATATCTTATTGAGATTTTTTTATTGTATTCTTTTAACTTAATTTATCCCTGGGTATAAAAGTTTCCTATTTATAAATAATGACATTTTTAAAAGTAACAGTGATGATAAAAATCTTTCCATGGATTGTATTTGGATAAATTATTAGCAAAAAAACATTCCTGATTTATTAGGCAAACAATTTCCTCTTTTGACGACAGGATCCTATAAAAGAAATCCTAGGACAGTAGAAAACTTTTTCATCCTGCTAAGAATTAAATTATATACTTATACATATTTCTGTTACCAAAATAAATTAGAAAAAGCAACAATGTCATCATGCTATTAGATGCTAATTATATATAATTTTATATATGTGTGTGTGTGTGTGTGTGTTCATTACATATATAATTTCTAAGGAAATCATCCTCTGTTATCTTAAGGAAATACTATTGCTTTTTATGATTTATTTCTGGCTGGGGGTATAGCTCAGGGGTAGGGTGCCTCCCTAACATGGATAAGGTCCTGGATTCAATCCTTAGCATCTGGAAAAAAAAAAAATCATATGTATATGGTTCATTTTGTAGACGAATGTTGTCATCTTTTTTAGTGATTAAGTCCACTAGAGCGTTTGATGGCAGTTTTGTAAGACCCAACTTTTAGTTTTATGAATCTTCTTTGTCCTATCTAATTCAGGTTGAGTACGAAGGCCTAAAGCATGAGATCAAGCGGTTTGAGGAGGAGACGGTGCTGCTCAACAGCCAGCTGGAGGACGCCATCCGGCTGAAGGAGATCGCCGAGCACCAGCTGGAGGAGGCGCTGGAGACGCTGAAAAACGAAAGGGAGCAGAAGAACAGCCTGCGCAAGGAGCTCTCCCAGTACATCACCCTCGGCGACAACCACATCAGCATCTCAGTCGACGGCCTCAAGTTCGCGGAGGACGGGGGCGAGCCCAACAACGACGACAAGATGAACGGGCACCTCCACGGGCCGCTGGTGAAACTGAACGGAGACTACCGGGCGCCCACCCTGAGGAAAGGGGAGTCCCTGCACCCGGTCTCGGACCTATTCAGTGAGCTGAACATTTCAGAGATTCAGAAGCTGAAGCAGCAGCTTATGCAGGTGAGAACTTTGCTTAGGGCTGAGAGAAGGGTCCATTGCACTATGGTAGATTGCATGTGGTGTGCGGTGGGATTTCTGATTCTGGTGTTTTAGTTCCAGGCTGATTTTTTTAAATGTTGCTTCTTCGGGTAGAAATTGAAAGCACAGTCTTTTAGAAGGATACGACAGAAGGAATGTTGAAAAGAAATCTCTTATTTGTATCACTTTAAGGAATGAAGTTCTTAATGTGGTACATATACACAATGGAATATTACTAAGCTATAAAGAAGAATGAAATTATGGCATTTGCCAGTAAATGGATGGAACAGGAGACTATCATGCTAATTCCAAAAAACCAAAGGCCTAATGTTCTCTCTGATATGTGGATGCTGGCTCACTATGAGATGGGGGAGTGGAGATTCACTGGATTAGGGGAGAGTGGGGAGAAGGGCAGGTAGATGGGAATAGGAAAGCCAGTAGAATGAATCAGACATAACTTTCCTATGTTCATGTGTGTAACTCTACATCATGTGGCACTCAAATGAATTTCTTTGAGCTACAAAGTTCTGAGAAAAAACAGATTCTTACTAACATTTCTGACTAACAGAGACTCTAAAAGCTTTATACACAAGTGGAACAGCAGAAAATGCAGTTTTTTATCACAAGTAACTGTATGTCTAGCTTCCAGATTAATGGTTACATTTCCCAGGAGTACTTTAAGCTATAAAAAAACAACAAGGACTTTATGTATACAAATTGGCTAGGATACTATATGATTAAAAACACAGAACAGGTGTAAATCTGAAACCAAAGGATTCTAGATATTCCAATATAAGCTAAACCTTAATTTTTAACATCTTCAAGTTATATGTATCCAGAAGAGTGAGAGCCTTTATCTTATCTCACTATGATGGGACTTTCTTATTTATAGAGCCCTGCCCCCTAATCTTAATTCAGTGCCATTGGAAATGTCTGTAGAACAACGGTACCGCCATAGCCTGGGGGTTTATTTGAAATTGCTGGGCCCATATTGATCTACTGAGCCAGGAATCTGGCTTGTTAGGTGGTTAAATTTGGGACTAATCTTCAGTCTCATGCCTCCAAGGTTCGTCTTGTATAGCTGATAAATTGAGGCTGTTAAGATTCTAGCAATCGTACAAACAGAAAAATGAAAACTTGATCTCCATTTGTATATTTGAATTGAAATGCATTCTGCTGTCATGTATAACAAATTAGAACAAATAAATAATTAAAATTACAAAAAGAAAAGACTCTAGCAATCACTTATTTTACAGCAAACAGAGCTTCGAATTTTCTTCTTCCAAAGAAATGAACAATGAAACTAGCAGAAATAAAGACGAGAGAGCAAATAAAATTAATTTGTTAATAAGTTTATTTTTAATACTGCATGCCCTTCACTTTACCACCCCAGTGCTTGTGGCTGCTAAAAGACAGTTTTTGCAATATTTAATTTGAGTCAAGATAAGAGACCATGACCACTGGAAGAAAACCAGTTTTATATAGCATTTCTCCTGACACAAAATCCAGTTCTTTGTGGGTAATATTTTTCCATATCTTTTTCTCAGTTTATACTAATACAAGTAGGTTGGTAGAAATAGAAAACATGCCTCTTCTTGAAAAAGTTGTATACGATACCTATTTTCATAAAAATGTGTGCCCTAAATTAAATAGCACTTATGATTAGTATATTTTCTGAAAGTATCATGTTGATGGCTTTGGAATAAAAAGCCATTGTGAGTTGAGCCTTTTTGTTTCTTCATTTTATTTTGCTGGCGGGGGGAAGATAAGAGGAAGTGGGGCTTCAAGGCATAGGACAGCTCAGTAGTTTTTAACCAAGTCATTTATTGGGTTAAAGCTCAGAGCTGTTGTCACACTTGACCTTAAATGTAATCTGAATTGAGAAATATAAAGTCCAAAAAAGATGAGTAGTTTATCTTCTCATGAGTGATAGAGAAAGAGAACAAGTAAGTCTCAGCAGAGTGAAGTATGCATTTGGGACAGTTCCTCATTATCTGAGACTGTCTCCCAAGTTAAGGAGGTTTAGCCTCTCTAGCCCAGCCTATTAAAGTGCCAGGTATATCTCTTTAGTCATGTGATAACCAAAAATGTCCCACACATTTCAAGTGCGCTCAGCTGCTAGATGAGATTTATTCTTGGAGCTACAACATTTTACTTTTCCATTAAATAGGGAGTCGAAAGACTTCCTCATTCGATTGTTGTGAAGGTGTATGAGCTAGTTAATATGTGTAGATTGCTTAGAACAGAACCCAGTGCACAGTAAATAGTTATTGGAACTATTATTATTTCAACTCCATAGTGCCTTTAGTTTTTGAAGCACCTGATTTATTTAAGTATTTTTATTCTTGCTACTAGCATTAACTGTTGTTTTTGGACTATCAGCTCAAGAATTGTCACCTGGTACAAGACTGGTACGTGCAACTGAGTGGAAAATGAGAGTTAAGTCTCCTGATATGAAAAGGGATGTTCGTGTTGCAAAACATGAGGGTGAGAAAAATTCTGCAGGATACACCCTCCTTCCTTATCCCAGAGAGCTGTGTGCCTTCAAGTCTTTCATCAGCACTCAGTTAGCATGGACAGTTCATAAAGGTGTAGAGGGGCCCAGGCGGGCCTTGGATCACAAATTTGGCTCCAAATTGAGTAATGAAAACCAGGCTCAGCACAGGAAGGACTTTATAGCTTCTGGTCTCACACCAGCAACACTAACCTCTCAATTTTTTTTTTCAAAGTAACCATTTATCTTCTCATAATTAGCATATGGTACCAGGGATGCCATATGTGGGTGGTACCAGGGTGCTTTAGCACTGAGTTACATTCTCAGTCCCTTTAAATTTCGAGACAGGTTTTTGCTAAATTGCCCAGGTTGGCTTTGCAGTCCTCCTGCCTCAGCCTCTTGGGTAGCTGGGTTTACAGGCATGTGCTACCATGCCCCGCATTTTTTTCAAAACCGTATCAACTGTTTTAGGGATATTTTTCATTCAACATTTTTGGTACAAGGGCAACAGAGTGTATCTTCTCATGAATGATTTCTTTATAATCTGATTGTTTTTCCTTAGCTATGCACTCTTTTGGGTTTCATTCATATAAATAAATTATAAAATTATTATTTGATGTGAAGCTTGAAAATAATATGTCAATTCTGATCAACAGCAGTTCTGATGGGCCATGAAACATACTGTGAGTTGTACTGTTCTAGACGTTCTGAAGGGACTCCAATAAAATGCACTTAAGTATTGCTACCTAAAATACTTGAGGCCACATGTGTTTTGAAATTCAATTTTCAGACTATAGAAAGGTTACATGCTGCATATGTCATGTGTATATTGTGTCATCCCCAATGTGGCCACATGTGGTACCCAACAATCACATAATATTAACGTTAAAATATTAATGTTAATGTACAAATATGTAACAACAAATCCACCATTATGTCCATCTATAGTGCACCAATAAAAATGTGGGAAAAAATTAATACTAATGTTAAAAATTAATGCTAAATGTAAAATGTTAAATGCTAGTATTAAAATTTGTGTAGTAAAGCATGCAAATATTCATATGAAGAGAAAAAAATCAGGACCATTTTTTATATGAAAAGGACTTCGTTTGGTTGGGTGCAGTTTTGCTGCTCCACAGGAGTTTAGGGCTGTCATTATATTGCCACCAAACAAGTTATATATAACTTCTATTTCAAGCTTTTTGGACATTGAAATTGTGGCCAACGTAGGTGGAACTGGGGCTGCACGGTTAAGCAATTTTGTATGTACACTTGGGATGGGACAGTTGGTATTTTCATAGTCCCTTTGTCTCTTAGGATTTCTTTTGGCAAGAATACAAAACATTTCATCTGAGTGAAGTCTGTGTGCCATCAAATCTAACACCTATGCTTAGTTACTGCTGATCATGTCGAGGGGCACAGGCTGGGATATAACACCTTAAATGGGGTGATATGCAGCTTTTCAGACTATCTTCCTTGTGATTAAGATCTCTTTAGATGGATAGGGGAATAAGTTCAAGAGGTCTGCCGTACAATGCGGTGGCTATAACTGATAACAATGCATTTTATTCTTAAAAATTACTAAGAGAGTAGTTTTTTTTTTTTTTTTTGCAAATGATAAGTGTGGGATGCAATATATGTATATGTTAATTAGCTCAAAATTTAGCCATTTCACAATGTATCCACATTTCACAACATTCTGTTACACATGGAAAATATGTACAATCTTTTATTTGTCAATTAAAATTAAATTTTTGTAAAAAAAAAAAGAAGAACCTCTTTAAAAATAGCATACGTAGGCCATACCCTATTGGCCTTTTCTTGTCTTACAAGTCTCCATCTATACACATAAATTATGTTATCTCTTTTGTAGGTGTTTACTTAACCTGGTTGGGGTGGAGGGGACCTGTGCATCTTTCTGCCTTGAATGTCAGGAATGCTGGGTAGTTGCTTTCTCTGAAGCTCCTTCACAAAGAGGGAAGGCAACACATTAGCAAAGCACTGGTCCCTTACCATGCCTTTGTTAGAATTAGGAAAAAAGAAAATACAAAACCTGGTCTCCTTCTTTAAGAGGTTATACTGCCATCTGCTGGGAAATGATAATAAGTAATAAAAATCTACAGGGACTACAGTTTAAATATTGCCTCCTTATAGAATTGCATTGTGTACAACCTGCACAGTTATACTTTAAAGCCCTAGTAATAATGCCAGGCCTCTTTTGTAGAATTGTGAAGAACAAATGGGATGGTAACTATGAAACTATGTGTCATTCATAAAACTGTAAGTTATTATTACTGTACTGGGAACTCTCCATCAGTTTTTGAGGTGCCAAGGTCTCCACTACCATTTTATATAAACAGTGAATACAGAAACCATAAAATTATGGGAAAGGGTAGATGGTGGTAAGCCTTGATTGAAATTAGGGAGTGCTTTTCTTCCCAGAGCAAATTGGTGTGAATATTTTACTGCTCTATGTCTTCTAAGATTA